CTGGCAGCAAAATAATCAGATTTGCATTTTTTCCACATTGTGGATGATATCTGTTTTTGTCTCTTCTAATATTAAAAGAAATTGGGGTCATAACATAAGAAACTTGAGTATAAGGTAGACCAAAGGAAGCATTTTTCTCATAAATTGCATAAACGTAGCTAGATGGTTTACCATACGGAGTCATGATTAGTCACCGATTTAAATTATTTTTTTAAAAAAGTTAAAAAATTGTTTGGAAGTGAAAGTGTTTATGGGTAATCATTATGATAGGAAGCCTTGCAGGGGTGAAATGCTACCGGTTCGGACCAGTTCACTTGAACTGGTAGTAAAAATGCTACTGGTTCACCTGAACCAGTAGTAAAAAAATTAAACCGGTTCAGACGAACTGGTTTTTCCAACGATCAATTGTGACGTGTGATTTATATTAGCTAGAAAGCAAGATTTCCTATCTAATCTAATCTAGCTAGCTAATCTAAATTGTGTGGAACAGTGGATCCACTCCCCTCTCGCTATTTGCTTACCTTTGCAAGCGCATGGTAGTATGCTCCGCCCACCCACCTGGACATCATCATGTCTGTTTTTGACGCTCTGCTCATGCGCAGGAGGGTCTACGCATGCGCCAAAGGTGGAGCATGCACACACACACATTGCTACCAAACCGGTAGCAAAAGTAAGTGGATTTCACTCCTGGAGCTGTGGTGACGTAGTGGTTAGAATGGAGTATTGCTGGCTAACTCTACCCACAGCCTGAGGTTCGATCCTGACTGAGCTTAAGGTTCACTCACCGTCTATCCTTCTGAGATTGGTAAAACGAGGACCCGGATTGTTGGGGGCAATAAGCAAATAATGCTTTGACACTGTAAACAGCCCACAGTCTGCTATAAAGCAGGATGGGTCAATATATAAGTGTTATTGCTATAATGAAGATTACGAATGTTGTTTAATAGACAGAAACAGTGGAATGGATCTGCTCTCTATGTGTATCTTCAGATTGAAATTAAGATTATCTAGAACGAACAAAGTCGGCGGCGCTACGGCTGGTACAAGTTGGAACATGCTTGTGTCATTCCACAGGATGTGTCAGAGCTGGTACAACACAACACTGTGAAGGGATTTAGTCCTGATGACAAGTTTCTTTCCTGGAAGCTGAACATGAAATAATTAAACAACCATACAAAGGCGAGGAACTTCTTTAAATAAATCCATTGAAGAGATGAAACTACCTAGCTCTGAGTTAGAATCATTCATGCAAATTATACACACAATCAAGAAGAACTGAATTCACCTTTTTTCTGGTTCAGCTTGGCTGTTGTAATGTGTAACTGGCCACCTAGAAAGCAGGTAAACCTATTTTTATTAAGTTAGAGAGTGCAATCTTTTGAGCTCCATAAAGTTTTATCGGGAGCAAGTCTGGCGTGGGGTGCATGTTTTTTGTAATTCATCAATGGTTTTATGCTATGATGCAGCGATGTATGAACGTTGAGCAGAGTACTCAACGTTCTGTACTGGAACATTGTCTTCAATACTAATTTCTTCCTCCCTTGGACAGCCTTGCCAATGGTTTTTCCAGTTGTTCCATCAGTACTCAAGTGAATCTAATTACATTGCTGTGAGCCACTGAACGAATAGGCTTCATCATCTAGGATGCCCCATGCCAGCTGGTTTATCTTGGTGGTGTTTGAAAGCATCAAGCAGCTTCTCCTTAATCATTTTGATTAAACATGGGGAACACGGTGGGATTTAGAAGTGGGGAAATGCAGTATCCAGAATTTTCTTGCTTCTATTCAGGCAGTTTCATGCCATCAGGGGGGGGATCTGATTTAATTGGTGGCTAGGTGGCAGCACATAGCCAACACAGGAGGAATCTAAAAGGTTAACCCTGTATGTACATGGCTAGGGAATCAGATTGTCATCTAATTTTGAAGAAGGGTTGGTGGCTTTGTTCCACAACGACATTCTCTGCAGTGTAACAAGCGTGTTATGGATAGCATTTTGAAGGGATCGCTGTGAAGAAATGGCTTTTGTTTCTGTAAACTATCACTATCTTCCCCTCCCCCTTAAAAGTAATGCTTTCCCAACCGGCACAAACTATATGTGTATATCAGGAGTTGGCAATCTTAAACACTCATTGTGAGCCACAAGGGCCCTAAACGGAAGCCCCCCCATTCAATTCAGGAGCTGACCGGAAGTCCGGTTCCCCCCACTATAGTGTCTCCTCCTAGTGTGGTGTCCTTTTTCACCTGCTGACCAGAAATCCAGTTCTTCCCACCATAGAGTCTCCTCCTAGTGCGGCATCCTTTTTCTTCTTCCTGTCTTAACCGAAAGCCCGATCAATTGTGGAGCTGACCAGCAACAGGGAGCCGCAGCAGAGGGATGAAAAAGCCACATGCGGCTCCAGAGCTGCGGGTTGCTGACCCCCCCTGGTATATATAGTAAATTCTGCTTCTCTGAGTTTTTGATCATTTGATTGTACAGTGTCTACTTGAAATTTCTTCCAAGTAATGATTTTACAAGGGGTTTTATCTTGCCCACCACATTCACCTATCTACTCCAGCACTGTTGTTGACTCTTGACGTTTTAATTTCTTCCTTACTAAGTGTTCTTCTCAGCTGAGAGAAACAGAGGCGTATCTTCTACCACAAAAGAATATTCTGTCTTCCCCTAGGTGACAGCATGCCAATCTAAGTAGCTTAAATAAGAGTCTTGCATAGTGACTTTATACATAAAGCACATTTGGACATTCAAGAATGATCCCATATAACAGCAATACAATATCCCAATCCGCTTGCTACATAATCTTTCATGACAGTCTTTCATAGAACTCTGAAAGATGCACAATAATCCTTACTATAAAAAAACATTTTAGTGCATTATAGATGTGCAGTATATCTAAAGTAGAATGGTCTCCCCTTTCAGTCTCCTTCAACAATATAACTCTATGAGGATCCAATAAATAATAAAGAACATGACAAATAGAGGCCCAGTCTTACTCATATAGCTTTCTGGCAACTGTGGTAAAGTCCCTTTGAATGCAAGTCAGTTCTTCCAGACAGGCCTGGTCAAGAATCAAACCCCACAAGGGCTACTAGAATCCTGTTTCATTGTTGCAGGATATAATAATAAAGTCTTTAAGGCCTGACAGAGTTTCTGTCTTCCTGCTCTTATATTCAAGAAAAGCAAGAGGGAACAATCTTGAGTTAGCTCTTCACCTTCCTGTTCTGATCTAGGCTTCCCCAAACCACGAAGCAAACGCCTTGTCCGGACCAAAAAAACCCCCTTTTTTATTAAGTTACTGTGAATTCCTCTCATTCACATCCAGCAAAGTCTTTCAAGGGAGGATTTATAGTCACAGACTTTATCTGGCTTGGAGAGCTGCCAGGCCAATATGTGCAGAACATGGCAAGGAGGCTTGAAGAGTCACGAACCAACTAAGCAAGCTAATTGTCTCCTGCAAACTCCACTCCCCTTTCGCTCCTCCTTTATTCCCTATGGGAGGGGCCATTCACCATNCTGTAAGCCGCCCAGAGTCCCAAGGGAGTGGGCGGCATACAAATGTTATTAAATTTCAAATTTCTGCTGAACATATAATCCCCACAGCACTGTCTCATTTCTCATCCTTCCTACTACCTTCCCCTATTGCAGTGATGGCTTAACTTTTTGTTATTGTGTGCCGAAAGCATGCCCGTTAAGCTGTTAAATGCACCCATGCCCACAATGCAATGCACGTTCCTGCCCCCCCGTCCATGCACGCAACCGCCACGCATTGTACCCTGTCCCCCGCATGCACACTGCCCCCTGGGAGCATGCGCAGCAGAGACCCGAAGACCAGCTGGCCGGTGGGAAGCATTGATGCATGCGCAGAGGGGCTGGCCTGGCACAATGGCTGGCGTGCCCGCAGAGAGGGGTCTGCATGCCACCTGTAGCACGCATGTCATAGGTTCTCCATCACGCCCTATTGGCTTCTTATGATTTATCAATCGTTGTTTGTAATTTATAATTAATATGATCTATGACCTATGACTTGCTGTTTAGATGTACACTATGAGCTTATGCACCGGAGACAAATTCCTTGTGTGTCCGATCACTCTTGGCCAATAAAGAATTCTATTCTATTTTATTCTAGTCTACTCATTTTCCCTATTCTACTCTATTCTATATTCTAGTCTAGTCTACTCATTTTCTCTATTTTATTCTATATTCTATTCATTTTTTCTATTCTATTCTATTCATTTTCTCTATTCTATTTTACTCCTTTTATTCTATTCTACTATTCATTTTCTCTATTCTATTCTATTCCTTTTATTCTATTCCTTTTCTCTATTCTATTCTACTCTTTTTATTCTATTCTATTCATTTTCTCTAATCTATTCTAGTTACCCATTTTCTCCATTCTATTCTTTTTTATTCTATATTCTACTCATTTTCTCTATTCTATTCATTTTCTCCTAGTCTATTCTCCTCATTTTATTCTATTCTACTCATTTTCTCTATTCTATTCTATCCCTTTTATTCTATTCTACTCATTTTCTCCTATTCTATTCTACTCATTTTCTCTATTCTATTCTATTCTACCCCTTTTATTCTATTCTACTCATTTTCTCCTATTCTATTCTACTCATTTTCTCTATTCTATTCTAT